TTTTAGTCCTAGGTCCATGATCCACCTTGAGTTGGTTTTTGTGTATGGAGTGAGGTGTGGGTCTTGCTTGAGTCTTTTGCAGATATTTTTCCAAGACTGAGATTATTAACAGCTTTAGTTTGCTTGGCTTCACCATCAACCAGGAAATTAAAAGACATACTGCATTGAGAAAGTCTGCTGTCAAGAGACCTCTCCAAAGTACTGAAGAGCAATGGTGTCAGTCTGGAGACTAAGGTGTACCTGATACAGGGCATGGTCTTTGCAATCACTTCTATGCATCAGAAACCTGGACAATGACTAGGGAAAATAGAAGGAGAATTGATGCCACTGAGCTGTGATGCTGGAGAAGAGTACTGAATGTACCATGGACTGCTAAGAGAACAAACAGGTTCAGCCTGGAGAGGGTTAAACCAGGCTGCTCCTTTGAGGCAAGTATTCTGAAGATTCTGACATACTTAGACATGTTGCAAGGTGGGACCTAGTCCTTGGAGAGGGATGTAATGCTTGGGAAGGTGGAGGGACCGCTCAGGAGAGGAATTGGATTGATTGAGTGACTGGGGTAATAGGGATAGGTGTGTTAGAGACAGTGAGACTGGCACAGAATAGAGCAGGGCTTAGAACTGCTGTACATAGAGTCGCTATGAGTTGCAGGCTACTCAGCGGCATATAACAATAACAACAAAAACAATACACAAACTTAGGACATGGGTCATCTTTTACTCATTAAAAGAACTCTTTCTACACAGAAGGCTAAAAGAAACCAAGCACAAAGGGCTGGTAGGGTGGTACAATTTAGAGAGAAATCATTTAACTATCAAAAACCACAAAAACATGTTTAGCCTTTCACTTGGAAATTTAGGTCTTAACAAATTACCGAAAGGAAATAACTAAGGTTAAAAAAAGGCACTTTTAATAATAATAATTTTAAAAAGGAATTTTAAAAATATCCAAAATCCAACCAAACTGACTGGATTTGCTGAGTCTAGGGGACTCTTTGAGACTGCTGCGGAGATACTTTTCCAACCTAGAACTGAAACAAACCCAAGGTCACCTTATAGCTAAGTAACAAATCAGATTACAAAAGTCATCACCTTTAAGTAAAGTGCTTCTTTGAAACAATTACAAAATCAAACGGTCAGGTAGTTTAGTGGTAAGGGATTGTGCTGTCAACCCAAAGGCATATGGTTTGAATCCACAGAAGATGGGCAATCTCCTTTTGTATGATTTACTGCCTCTGAAAATCCACAGGAAGATCAGACATAATCCAGTTCTGACTTGACAACTTTAAAACAAAGTATGTAAAGAGAAAGGGGAACCAGACTAATGTTTTGGTTTTGGAACCAA